AGAAGAGAATCAGGATCCCGGACTAGGGATCCGGGACCGGGTCCTGGTCATAAAACGTTACAGATAATGCGTATTTATACATTTTGGTCGAATAGGAAACAGCATCGAAGTCTGTGACATTGACAGTTAAGACGACCGATAGGAAGTAACATTTGAAGTGGCATGGATAGTCAGGATAACCAATGAGAAACAACATTGGAGCGCGTGACATTGATATCTAGGACGACCATAAAATTGACCAGTAGAAATTAACCAATAAGAATTGACCAATAATTCTCTTAGGATATTGGATGAGTATCCTAACATTGCACTTACTTACTTCGCTACCCCTGTTATCCTTAAATGGAGTATAGGCCGCCTATCAGCATTCTCTAACCAATCCTGTCCTGAGCCTTTCTTTTCAATTCTATCCAGTGGTTACAATTTAATCAATAAACTGTTAGCATATTTTTGTGAGAAGAAAAACTTGACTTAAACGATCAATCATTGATAAATATATCTGTTCTAAAGGATATCAGTCATGAGTAACATATCAGACTATCAAAATTGGTTGACAGAAAATAGAATCCCGCTAGTGAACACTAGTTCCCTTGAGATTTCAGGTACTTTTTGCTGATGACTGTTAGTTTGTGCGCAGCCTAGGTTTGGGTTTTATTGTTGAATAACTATACAACCACCCAACATTCTACTGGATTCGATATCGGGAATGAACGTAAACTCTCTGAGATGCAGAAGATACATTCAGCCGACGAGTCTGAAATAGGACAAAACGCGAGTCTAGGATTCCATTACTAGAGAACTTCCAATCAAATTTTTTATTATTTTATATAAATTAACCCTGTATTGTCAAGGGCAATTTTACATTGGTTTTCAGGAGAACCAAGGGGACTGCTCACCTGTTACCATTTCTACATGAACAGTTCGGCTCAATCCTGTGGTGCAACCACACAGGTACCTGATACCCTGGTGGACCATTCACACCATTTATATATACACTAGTACACATATATATAGTGATTATTTCCGATCCACGATCGCTTCGTCGATCAATATGCACCGCATGAACAGGCCATTTTGACCCATCCCGCTTACATGACTGTCAAACTCATTATTATTAGCAATGGTGATATGCCATACAGCATTCTCGGGAATGTTGCAAAAAAACCGCCATCAGTATCGGTCGCCCTGCTAACCAATTTCTTATATAGACTGTTAGCAATGCTTGCCAAAGCAATACCAAGCTATCCACAATGTTCACAGTGAACATCCCGACTCATAGGAGACCTTCAGCTCCATATTAGCAGTATAGCCTATGGTGTAC